GCCAGCCAAAATCAAGGCATGGGCAGAAATTGTGGTTAAAATGGAGCATCTTTATCAAAATATGATCAACAGTTTCAGTTCAGACAATACACCAAATTAAATCAAGTATGACTTACCATATCATGTAATACAAACAGATCGGTTTCTATCCTGGTCTGCACAAGATAATTCATTGTGATAATAATTGGAAGACGTTGGGTTCTGCATTCTAAAGAAATTGAACTGATTCCAATTTTGTCCATCTAATTCTTTTACATTTTTGTTGTGCACATTTTCTACTGAACTTAAAGTCCTTATCGAAATGCCCAAAAATATTGTGAGATTATTATTAAAAAAATATAAATAAGGCTTGGCTACACTCATTCAATAGTATTTAATAATTGATTTCTAGGCTACTGAATGTAGTTAGTATGACTGTTTCAATTTCCTGTACACAAAAATAAATGTTCCCAAGTATTCAAATGAGTTTGTTTGGAATGGTGTCTGCTAGCCATTACATGGTACAAATGATGGACTGTAAAGATGAGTCTGAAAATAAAGGTTCACAAACTAATTTGCTTGATGTTAGGAACATGTCATCAGAATATAGCAGAAACTCTTGTTCCTTTCTTTTTTTTTCATGGACATCATATTGCTTTCAATATGTGATTCACTTCCATTCTGAATAAGAAGCATCTAGCAGGTATCTTTTGTTTTACCCTGTTTATACTATGAAAAAGAAGAGTAAAAAGCACTAGCTCAGCCTTAGTTTATCCAGGATGTCATATAGAGGATGTATAGAAACTAAAGAATTAAAGAAAAATCTTAGTAAAGGCCAAATCATAATAGAGAAAAGGCATCTTATGCAGTGCTAATAACAACTTGGTCAGTGCTATTATCCTCCGGGATTGGGTGGCCTAGAAATTTAACAAATAAAATAAATAAATAATGGAAATAGTCCCAAACACATTAAAAAGAAAGCCTCTTCTGAAATCTTCACAATTGTAGACTTCAAGAAGAAAGAAAGGGTTCATTTAAAAATTGAGTTATAGAAAGTTCTCACTCAAAAAGAAGCAACAGGATCCTTCATCAGGAAGGGTTTACTGGCTTGTTACTAGGGGCTGATATTCTGTTGTTGATTAGACTAGTAGCTGGATAAACATGAACTATACCATGAAAATGTTATCTGGTGTTGCATCATCAGATGGTGCAACTGAACTAAGGCCACTGACCAATCATCCAATTGGATGATGAAATGTGTGGCATTCTTCACAGAGCTGATTTGTGTGAGGACAAGATTAGGCTCTAAAATTCGGTACTGCAGACATTTCTAAGGCTAATCTGACAAAAGAAATTTGAAAAGAATAAGCTGAATCTCATTTATCTGCCAGAAAATCCTTGACCACAGCCATCTCCACAGACAAAACAATGCATTATGTCCTAGGGTAGAATAATAAAACAACTACAGAGTTGGAACTTTTCATCCAACTCCCTGCTCAAGCTGGAGAGCCTATACTATTTCAGACCAGTCTCATGAAAGCCTCTAATAATGGAGCACCAACAACTTCTGAAGGCAAGCTATTGCTCTAACTATTAGGAATTTTCTCCTCACCTTAGTACTAGCTTCCTTGTCTCCTTGGTTAATTTCAAATAATTAATGGAAAATAATTTGACCCCCCTCGTCTTTGTACAGTAATGTGGGCACACATTACAGGAATAATGCTGAATTTTCATGAATTAAAATGAAATAGCATCCGGACATTTTAGCATGGGATGTCTGTAGCACCTCTTTATACAGAGGTGTAACTATCCCTAATGCTAACATTTTAGACTTGGCAAAAGGGGCCTTGCAACACTGAGCACATGCTGATAAACAGAAACTTCAAGGCTGGGATTAATTTATGAATGCTATAGCATAGATGAATGTTCCAACAGCCATGTTGGATTCTATCTCTGTTAAAGAATAACTAGAAAGCTGAAAGAATCTGTGGCTCTTAAGGATATAGATGCTACTATTCCCAGTTCTGTTTTGCCTGTGCTTATTGCAATAGATCAAACTCAGAACCATTTACTGGCACGAAACCAGAGTGTTTACTGGATGCTAAATCCTAGAAGTAGGCTAAGGTTTGGTGATTGGCTCAACTTATAAAATGATTACAATCATTGTGAAACAAGCAAATAGTTTGAATTTTTGTCTTTATTTTATAGCAAGGCAGGCAAGTTTGCATACACTGATAATGGGCACATGCTCCAAGCCCACTTTCCAACTTTATACCCTTTACAAACTGCTTTACTATTTGATCCTACTTTCTAGTTCTTATGAGTCTGTATAAAAATATACACTTATAGTACTGAGATACATAATACTAAAAAAATCTTTCAAATTTGTAAAACTCCCAAATACATGCAAAACGCATTTTATCACAACAGTTAAAAACAGAAAGCTTTGGGGCCACTTTGCCTGGGAATCAGTGTGCTGTACCAACTTCCACCGGATATATTTCATTCTTACAGAGAAATAAAAAAAAACCCTTTTGGTTTTATTCAACCGAGGAAGACACACAGCTTCTCAGGTCACAAATAAGCAATGCAAAATAAAAAAATAAAAAAATCCGTGACCCATCAAAACCGCGTTCCACAAAAGCGCGGTCGATGAAATCGCGTATGTGACGTCATCACAATGCGACGAAAAAGATCGAAAAAATTAAATAAAAATTAAATTACAGCAAGCCGATTCACATAAAGGTAAGCGTTAGGTTAAGGGTTAGGGTTAGGGTTAGGTTGAGGGTTAGGGCTAGGTTTAGAGCGTTAGCGTTACGTTTAGCGTTAGGCTAAGGGTTAGCGTTAGGTTTTTCGTTAGGTTAAGGGTTACGTTTAGGGTTAGGTTTAGGGTTAGGTTAAGGGTTAGGTTTAGGGTTAGGTTTAGGGTTAGGTTTAGGGTTAGGTTTGGGGGGGTTAGGGTAAGGTTTTCGCTTTATTTTTACATTTTTCGATCTTTTCCGTCGCGCTGTGATGACGTCACATACGCGCTTTCGTCGACCGCGATTTTGTCGTCCGCAGTTTTGTGGTGGAACCAAAAAATCTGGACTTCTATGTCCCACATGGAATCCTAAGAACTTATGCATTTAACTCACTATGAAAGTTACAAACTGTAGAGAAGCATGAAGTCAGTAGGGCCATAAACAACAAATCTAAAATAAGGAAATGTTCATTTTCTTATTTATAACAGAATAAGCCAGCTCATGTGCTCATTTTCAGTTGGGCCAAAGCTGAAATAAACATTTCTCTTTAAATAAATTACCCAAATGCCAGTCTGGCTTTAGACCATGTGTCTATCCATGAAATCTATGACCTAGTCTAGCCTGCTTTCAGGTTTTGACAGGAGTAAATTGACAGAACCTGAGCCTTCTTAAAGAATGTTCCTGCTTCTAGGTCCTTTGGAAACAGGGGGTTATTGGATTGGTTCAGGGTACTACAAAAATGCTTTTACTTTAAATATAGTGGTGTGGTTGGTTTTTACTTGTCACAAAACTCTCAATGCATAACTCTGAAAATCTTAATCAATACCTGTACAGTATCACTCCACAAATATTTAAATGGAGGGACACAATATAGTGGACCGGTGAGCATACTTAGGGTTTTGGGAGTATCACTATATTGTGCCATTAAGGACCCATACAATTGCTTAGGCATACACTTGCACCCAAGGCAAATGGATGAGATTGGTACCTGCCATTCTCTGCAACTGATGTAATTTCTAATTTTTGGGAACCAAGCAAATTTAAAACAAAGGCATGGATTGTATCTAATCTCCCCTTGTTTGAAACATAGGATCTTTTGTATGTTTCCTTTCAGAACATTATTTCCTTATTTAAACACACACACACACACACACACACACACACACACAAGGCTGGTACTTTGCAGCATACCTGCTTTCTATTATTTTATTCCTATTTAGAAGAATCTAAAAATAATAAGTCCGATGCAGCAGAGAGCCTCCTGGCACCAAGGGTGGTGTCTGTGGCACATTGCCTACCCCTACGGTGGCAAAGGTGCTTAAAATGCAAAGCATTTTTTGTCAGTGAGCCCTGTGCTATATGTGCTGGGCTGCAGCCACCTTAGGCCTGCCATGGGTTAGACAGGTGCTGGCTTTCCAGGAACAAATGCAGCGATGGCCCCAATCACCACCTTCCTGTCTGGCAGCTTCCCAAGATTCAAAACTCCTGCCAGCAGAAGGTAGCCATCGCAACAGCCTTTTGTTCCTCAAGTTCTTTCCAACGGCTTAAATACCTAGTTGGTGGGTAGTACTGAGCCCCTACCGGCGACCCAGTGAGGCTCTCCAGCCCGCGAGGGAGGCAGTCAGTCATCTTACTAGCCCGACTAGCCCTGTGGGACGCTACCTACTTTGGGTAATGAAACGTCTGCAAGAAGACAAGCAAGCTCAGAGAGCACCAAGGAGCCCGCTCACCCCCCCCCCGGCAGTCTCCTTAAACTAGGCTCCTCGGAACTGGGTTTCACGGGGTTTGACCCTGTCGAAAGGATTCAGAAATAAAACTTCTAGTAAACGCGTCTGTGAGAGAAACTTGGCTAGCTTAAGTACTGCTCCCCCCCCCCTCAAAAAGGGAAGCGGTCCTTGGGCACCTTCGCTCCCCTCCTCCCCCGACGCCCCGGCTGCTCCTCCTTTCTAGGGGAGGCGACTTGTTGAATTTAAAACCTGAAGGGCGAACTTCACACCTGGCGCTCTTTCCTCAAGCAGGCGCGCCGGGACAGGGGCATCGGGGTGGGTGGGTGTCCCACGCCGGGAAAGAGGCGGAGCGCCCCGTTGGCTTCCGTTTCGCTCCTCCTCGGCTTGGATTTGCAGCGGGAGGCTCCCATTCTCTCTTTCCCAGAGCGACGGCACCGACGCCGACGAGGAGGAGGAGGAGGAGGAGAAGGAGGAGGAGGCTCCGGGGAGCGCCCGCCTCCTTCGCTGCCGAGCGCGGTGCACACGGGGCATGGAGCCTGCCTGAGCCAGTCCGCGGGCAGCTGCTGCTGCAGCACAACATGGAGGCGGCAGCGCCGCCGCCGCCGCCGCCGCTTTTGGTCCTGTTCCTAATCGCCGCCTCGCTACTTCGGTGCAACTTGGGGTCTGTCGCGGGTAGGTATCTGGGGCTGCTTCTCGCCTTTCCCGCCCCCTTGCCGGCTGTTCCGATCCCGCGCTTCGGGGAGAGGGAGCCCTTTTGTTGTGGAGATGGAAAAGTTCTTTGCAACTCGGGGAATGGGAGCGGAGGAAGAGGCGTGCGTGTGTGGGGGCCCCGCGAGGGCGAGCCAAGTGGGCGGCAGGGGAAGCGCCGGGGCTGGGACCGGGCGTTGCGGCGGGAAGAGGGGCGCAAGGCTGCGGGTGGGGTGGCTATAGCCCTGGCGAGTAAAAGCTTCGGCCGCCTTCTCTAGGAGAGACGGTGCAAGGGGGAAGGACGGCCGTACTGCATGTCAGCCTAGGAGAGAAGGAGACCGACCGACCCGTTCCCGATCGGGCAGAGGGGGGGAAAAAAGGAAGCTCCTTGGTTAGGTCTCCTCCAAAGTGCAAGTTCTGAACTAAAAGTGGAGGGCGTTTCCGTGCCTCGGTCAACGTAGCATTTCGGGGCGCCTGCCTCCCTCCCCCCCAGGAAAGGATTCCCTCGGCCTTTTTGCGTCATGGGGCTCCCGAGCTCAGCCTGTGCCTCGAGAGCCAGACAAAAGTTTTACTTTCCTAGCGCTTTGCGGCCCTGGGCCGCGGAGATTTCCCAGGAGTTCGGAGGAGCGGGTGTCGGGTGTCGATCCCGGGCTGAATCAAAACTTTTTGGCATCGGCTTTGGCGGAGGGGGTTGGGAAAAGAGCAGATCTAATTTCCTTTTATTTTAATAGTTGTAACCGGGGCGGGGGGATCGGGAGAGAAGCGGGGGGAGAGAGAAGAGAGACTTGCCTGACTTGTGAAACGTAACACTTGGCAAAACAGACTTCTGGGAAGAGTTTGTCTGTCTGGGGGTTTACCCAGACAAAACTACAGTGAACATTTGTTCCCTTCCTTGACTAGAGGGAGTGATCAGACAATCACGTACATTTCCATATGCCGTTGGGATAAAATTTGAATAAAATTCATTTTATTCATATTTTAAGAAGGAGTTTCTGACTTGATTTTGCTGAAATGTGCTTGGCTAGTATGTGGCCCGATCTGTTAGATCATTAATCTTGGATGTATAAATAAAGAGTCCTCCCACCTTAATACGCTTCTCTGTGTGTGTTCTTATTATGAACATTTGCCTTGATGCAAGAGGCACAGGAAGATTTGAGGAAAGAAGCCAGAACGGTGTGTTTCCTTATGGGATCTTCTACATCAATAAGGATATGGGGGGCTTTTCTTCTTTATTTTGTAGCTGGTATTCCATGTGCTGAGAAATCATACATTTTGTTTTGTATTCCATTTTGTTTATAAAGTCTCTTGTGTTCTTGTAGCAATCCCCAGCACTACCACAAAAGGAGTGTTATGATATTATAGTTTGTCACATAGTCAGCCAGATGTTTAGATTGGATTTGGCATTCTTATCCACCTTTCGAGATGTACTCAAGGACCTGGAATAGGGAGATGTTGTTCCGCTTTGTTAAAAGTTTTTATTATCTGTTAACAACAATTTGAAGTAACAGCTACCAGCTCTATCTAATGCTGGCCTTTATAAGCATCAAATCCTTCTCAAGAACCTACGCTATTGTGATGTATCAACAGATCAAACAGTGTGACCTTTTGCAATTCATGGGTGGAATTTTTTTCAATGTGCAGATATTCTAAGTACTATCCAAGATTTTTTTGGTATGGCATCCTGTGTGTCAATAACCATTAGGACTATCACAGCCATAATTTGATACCATAATTTTTCAATCTTGATTTTTAAATCTTGAGCTTTGTGATATTCTCCAATTCTTTGTCTTCTATTCTGCTATCTCCTCTTATTGCCACATCAGTTATCCACATTTTCTTTTCAACTGCAGTTAAATCTGGTGTGGTTATGACCCAAGACTTTATCAGTTTGTGTTCAGAAATCCCACAATATTTTAATGTGCTTGTTCTTGAGCACCGATGTTTTTTTACAGATGTTCTTCTAGTGAATAATTAGAATGACTGCGTTACATTGTTTTTATTCAGTTTGTGCAATCTTCTTGCAGGAGCTTGAGTATATGATCTACTGTTTTTCTTTGCACCATCTGTACTTTTAATAATTTGTCCCCCTCCCCAATGCTGGCCTTGATTGCATTAGTTTAAATAGCTTGCTCTCAAGCAACCAAAATCAAGCCTTCACTTTCTTTTTTAAAAAATGTTTCAGTTGTAAGCCATTGCCAGCTTTTATCTTTATCCTCTTTCCCCTTGCTCTTTTATAGAAATAGATTGTGTCTGTGTGTAAGTCGCCCAACTCTAGTAAATTCTGACAATTATACAGTAATTCAGAGGCTGCTACAAAAAGAGAATTAACTGTCTTTTTTGCTTCTCAGTTGTACTATTACTTGCAGGAAAAAAATATTTTTATACATAAGAACCTCTCAAATAGCCTAGTGTTTGTCTTCAGTTTAGCAGTCCTCAGCAAACTGAAGTTTTGACATACTAATGAATGTTAATTGTTGTAATTTTTCAATTAGTTGGAGAAATATACTTGTGGCTAATAATGCAGTCTCTTAGAGAAGTTATTACTGGGATTCCCCCTTTTCTTGAAATCATCTTTACTTTCCAGAATTGCTATTTAATAGGGGAGCTTTAACCAGTTTTCCCAAAGGCAATTGTGTTTTGTTTGGGGATGTGACTTGTTTTAGATATACAATAACGTATGTGTGCAGCTTTAATTGTAAATAAAATAAATCAATAAATAAATCAATTTTCCAGTAGAGTTTTATGTTAATTGATCCATCAGTTTGTTCCAGTGTTAAGGAAAAGGTGGTTATTATGGTTTTTAAAATGTTCCTAGGAGAGAATCATAGTTAGGCCAATGAGTCCATCTCCTTTAGTCAGTACAGAACTCCAAGTGAAAATATCCCAAAGGGATGGTTGTTTAGCCTCTGATTGAATGTGTTCAGTGAAGAACCAGCTCATCACCTCTCTGGGAGACTAGTTTCTCTGTCAGAATCTGCTTTTCTTAAAACTTAAACTTAACAATTATTTAAATCTTAAAATTTTTGAGGTGTAATGTTATTTAACCTAAAGGATTATTTCTCATCTTTATGGTGTCATAGTTACATCAAAATAAGCCCAAATGGGCATTGTTCTCTGACACCTAATTTAAATGTTTTATTTATTAAAAGTGGACCCTGCACTTGGGAAAAACACAGGAAGGAAAAAAAAATCTATTATAAAAACAAAGGGTGTAACTGCTTTGTATTGCTACATGGGCCAAAGTCATTTTGGCTTGCATCAATGTTCCAGTAGGGGTGTATAGTTTCTATATTTGGTAACGATTCAGTTAATGTATATTTTGACCAATCAAAGAAGGAATTTCCTTGACATAAAAATGCTTGTACATAAAATATGCACTAAATGCAGCCAAGTAGAGAAATTAATCTTGTCTTTTAAGTAAGAAAATGTTAGTCCCAGCTATTTGTTTTAGTTAAACAATATATAGTTAGTATATATTTTTTCTTTTTTTTCTGTAGTGTTTAGCATAAGAACTTTACAATCCTAAAAAACTCATTTTCATCTTTAGTTACAGCGTACTAAAGCATACTCAGCGTTTTGTTTGGATATTGGGCAGCATGTCAGAAAAATATTACTGTTTTTCCCAATTTAATTGTACTTCTTTATCAAACATTTGATTTACAGCAACAGTTCAATTAGTGACAGTTCAAAATTAAAAGAGCACTTAAAAAATGACTTATGACTATTTTTCACATGATGACATGATCAACATTCAGATGCTTCACAACCGTCTCATATTTAAGGCTATTATGATGTCCTGGGGTTATGCGATCACCTTTTGTGACCTTCTGACAAGCAAAATAAATGGGGAAGCCTGATTCACTTAACAACTGTGGCAAGAATGGCAAGAAAGGCTGTTAAATGGGACAATTCACTTAACCATCTCGCTTAACAACAGAAATGTGGGCTCAATTGTGGTCATAAGTCTAGGACTACCTGTATTAGCAGTATCCACTTAAAGAAAAATAGTTGGTAAACATCTATATTTCTCTTAAAGTAAACCTATTCCAGTGATTAAACTTTCATACAGGATTTTGAATAATTGTCCTGATTAGTAATATCTAATAGTTTTCTGTTTTATAGAGTAATTTAAATCAAGGCTGTAATATTTTTTAAATAGCCAAGAAAACATCTCAATTATAAAAGTTTGAATCTGCTTTTGTTTTTCTTTATATTGTACATTTAATATACACATACACACACACACACACACACACACACACACTATCTAATGGTTTTAAATAGAACCTTGATACTTTGGAAGATGCTCAATCAGCCGGCGTTGAAATTGCGTTTTCTTTCAGAAATGATTTTTCACTGACTGTCCTTCCTCTTGTGGTCTTCCATTGATTCTCACCATCTAGATCAGGGGTGTCAAACTCATACCATATCGTCACAATGGCATCACATGATGTACACCCCCCCCTCCCGCTAAACCAAGTGTGGCCATGCTTAACACATCCAGTCTATGGGCCGGGAGTTTGACTTGATCTAGATAGATAAATATTTGGAACTTCAGGAGAAGGAGATATGAGAAAAATCTGGGGTTCTACAGCTTGGAACCTCTGCTGGATATGTCAGTAAAATGATGCATATTGGTATAAAGTTGATAATACTAAATGACTCAATTGCCATATGACTGCTTAGTTTAAAAAATTATCATGAGAATAAGGGTTTGCTAGTCTTAACAGGTATGTATTGCTTCCATTATGGAGTTGGTATGCATCACAATACCAGTTGTTGGAGAATATAAGTAGAAGGCACTGCTGTACTTAATGCATTATTTGTAAGTTTCCTGCAGGCATTTATTGATTTGCGTGGGAAAGGAATGCTAAACTAAATAGGCTTTTGATCTGAACACATTCTTAACCAAATCTCCTAATCTTATACAGAATAATAGAGTTGAAAGGGACCCTGGAGGTCATCTAGTCTAGTCCCTGCTCAAG